TTTTTTTTTTGAGACGGAGTTTCGCTCTTGTTACCCAGGCTGGAGTGCAATGGCGCGATCTCGGCTCACCGCAACCTCCGTCTCCTGGGTTCAGGCAATTCTCCTGCCTCAGCCTCCTGAGTAGCTGGGATTACAGGCACGCGCCACCATGCCCAGCTAATTTTTTGTATTTTTAGTAGAGACGGTCTCTCTCCCCTTTAGTTCTGCTCTGATCTTAGTTATTTCTTGTCTTCTGCTGGCTTTTGAGTTTTTTTTAATCTTACTCCTCTAGCTCTTTCGATTTTGACGATAGGGTGTTGATTTTAGATCTTTCCTTGCTTCTCATGTAGGCATTTATTGCTATAAATTTTCCTCTAGACACTGCTTTAAATGTGTCCCAGAGATTCTGGTACATTGTGTCTTTGTTCTTGTTGGTTTCGAAGAACATCTTTATTTCTGCCTTCATTTCATTGTTTATCCAGTCAACATTCAAGAGCCAGTTGTTCAGTTTCCATGCAGTTGTGAGGTTCTGAGTTAGTTCCTGAATTCTGAGTTCTAATTTGATTGCACTGTGGTCTGACTGTTATGATTTCCATTCTTTTGCATTTGCTGAGGAGTGATTTACTTCCAATTATGTGGTCAATTTTTAGAGTAGGTGTGATGTGGTGCTGAGAAGAATGTATATTCTATGGATTTGGGATGGAGAGTTCTGTAAATGTCTATTAGGTTTGCTTGGTCCAGGTCTGAGTTCAAGTCCTGGATATCCTTGTTAATCTTCGGTCTGGTTGCTCTGTCTAATATTGACAGTGGAGTGTTAAAGTCTCCCCCTATTATTGTGTGGGAGTCTGAGTCTCTTTGTAGGTCATTAAGAACTTGCTTTATGTATCTGGGTGCTCCTGTATTAGGGGTGTATATATTTAGGATCATTAGCTCTTCTTGTTGCATTGATCCTTTTACAATTATGTAATGCCCTTCTTTGTCTCTTTTGATCTTTGTTGGTTTAAAATCTATTTTATCAGAGACAAGAATTGCAACTCCTGCTTTGTTTTGCTCTCCATTTGCTTGGTAGATCTTCCTCCATCCCTTTATTTTAAGCCTATGTATATCCTTGCATGTGAGATAGGTTTCCTGGATACAGAACACCAATGGGTTTTGACTTTTTATCCAATTTGCCAGTCTGTGTCTTTTGATTGGGACATTTAGCTCATTTACATTTAAGGTTAATATTGTTATGTGTGAATTTGATCCTGCCATTTGGATGATAGCTGGTTGTTTTGCCCATTAGTTGACGCAGTTTCTTCATTGTGTTGATGCTCTTTACCATTTGGTACATTTTTGGAGTGGCTGGTACTTGTTGTTCCTTTCTATGTTAAGTGCTTCTTTCAGGAGCTCTTGTAAAGCAGGCCTGGTGGTGATGAAATTTCTGAGCATTGCTTGTTCATAAAGGATTTTATTTCTCCTTCGCTTATGAAGCTTAGTTTGGCTTGACATGAAATTCTAGGTTGAAAGTTATTTTCTTTAAGGATGTTGAATATTGGCCCCCACTCTCTTCTGGGTTTCTGCTGAGAGATCCACTGTGAGTCTGATGGGCTTCCCTTTGTGGGTAACCCGACCATTCTCTCTGGCTGCGCTTAGCATTTTTTCCTTCATTTCAACCCTGGTGAATCTGATGATTATGTGCCTTGGGGTTGCTCTTCTTGAGAAATATCTTTGTGGGGTTCTCTGTATTTCCTGGACTTGAATATTGGCCTGCCTTGCTAGGTTGGGGAAGTTCTCCTGGATAATATGCTGAAGAGTGTTTTCAGGCTTGGATTCATTCTCTCTGTCACATTCAGGTACACCTATCAAACGTGTACCTGATTAGATCTTTTCACATAGTCCCATATTTCTTGGAGGCTTTGTTCATTTCTTTTCACACTTTTTTCTCTAATCTTGCCTTCTCATTTTATTTCATTGAGTTGATCTGCAATCTCTGATATCCTTTCTTCTGCTTGGTCAATTTGGCTATTGAAACTCGTGTATGCTTCGTGAAGTTCTCATGTTGTGTTTTTCAGCTCCATCAATTAATTTATATTCCCCTCTAAGCTGTTTATTCTCATTAGCATTTCATCAAACCTTTTTTTCAAGGTTCTTAGTTTCTTTGCATTGGGTTAGAACATGATCTTTTAGCTCAGAGAAGTTTGTTATTACCCACCTTCTGAAGCTTGTTTCTGTCAATTCTTCACACTCATTCTCTATCCAGCCTGTTCCCTTGCTGGTGAGGAGTTGTGATCCCTTGGAGGAGGAGAGGCATTCTGGTTTTGGGTATTTTCATCCTTTTTGCACTGGTTTCTTCCCATCTTTGTGGATCTATCTACCTGTGGTCTTTGTGGTTTGTGACTTTCAGATGGGGTGTCTGAGTGGACATCCTTTTTGTTGCTGATGAAGTTATTGCTTTCTGTTTCTTAGTTTTCCTTCTAACAGTCAGGTCCCCCTACTGTAGGACTGCTGGCAGTCCACTCCAGACCCTGCTTGCCTGGGGATCACCTGCAGTGGCTGCAGAACAGTAAGGGTTGCTGCCAGTTTCTTCTGTTATCTTTGTCCCAGAAGGATACCCACCAGGTGTCAGCCTGAGCTCTCCTTTATAAGTTGTCTCTTTGGTTATACGGGTGTCAGGGAGCTGCTTGAGGAGACAGTCTGTCCCTTACAGGAGCTCAAGTGCTGAGCTGTGAGCTCTGTTATTCTGTTCAGAGCTGCTAGGCAGGTACGTTTAAGTCTGCTGCAGCAAAACGCATAACCGCCTTTTTTTCCCAGGTGTTCTGTCCCAGAAAAGTGGGGCTTTATTTATAAGTTCCTGTCATTCTGCTGCCTTTTTTCAGAGATGCCCTGCCCAGCAAGGAGGTAGCCTAGTCACAGTCTGGCAGCAGAGGTGTTGCTGAGCTGCCGTGGGCTCTGCCAAGCTGCTGTGTGAACCTCCTTGCAGTTTTGTTTATAAAGATATAGTTAGAACTGCCTCGGTCATGGCGGTCTGCCTCAGTAATGGCAGACAGTCTCTGTAATGGCAGGCTGTCTCTGTAATGGCAGACTGCCTCAGTAATGGCGGACTGCCTCAGTAATGGCGGACTGCCTCTGTAATGGTAGATTGCCTCAGTAATGGTGGACTGCCTTGGTAGTGGTGGACTGCTTCTGTAATGGTGGGCGCCCTTCCCCCAACAGAGTGGGACTGTCCTGGGTCCAGCTGTGCTTGCTGTGAAACTCTGAATCCAGAGTGTTTCAGATTGCTGGTCTTTGTGGGGGTGGGACCAGCCGAGCCAGATCACCTGGTTCCCTGTTTCAGCCCCCTTGTTTTCAGTTGAATGGGTGACTCTGTCTCTCAGGCATTCTAGTCGCCAATTGAAATGGCGCACAGGTACAATCACTCACAGGGGCAAAGGGAAAAACATTAAAGAGCTGGAGGGAGTGGGCTTCTTACTCTTCAAATGGTCTCATTTCTAAGGAAGAATCCACATCCTACAAATCAGTGAAGTTTGACAGCAGGAGAGGGTGGGATGTGTCCCTGGGCTTGGCTTCTCCACAGTCAGCTACAACTCAACTTTCCTCAATTGCAAATGGACATGGTAGCCTGGCCTCCTGGGCAGTTACAAGAAGCCAATGAGAAAGTGTCTGTGAACACTTAGCACCCAGAGAGCACTCTATGAGCAATCTCTATTCTTTTTAGAGGGACTGCCTTCAGAGGGGGTCTATGGGCAGAGGGAATCTTCTAGGGCCCACTTGCCCTAATGGTGACAGTGAGTTGGTTAAGGGCTTCCAGAAAGCAGCTAGGGGATATGGAGAGTCAAGCCCAGGGGGAAGGCCAGATCTACATACCTGACCTTGGGGCAGGACCCTCATCTCTGTGTTGGTTCCTTCATCTGAAAATGAGGAGGTATTGATTTCTCATTCATCAAATGCTCAATATGTCAGAGGGTTCTTAGGAGCACTGTGGGGAAGATGGTGTGAATGCATCTTGTCAACCCCAGACTCTCCTGTCTCTTCATTCCCCACCCCACCTGAACCACGAGCTCCAAAGGGGGAGGAGCTGGGTCTTGGACAACTTTCTTGCTCCCCACTCCCTCTGCCCCAGAAGGTGTCCAAAAGCTGTTTGTAGAAAAGTTGAAAAGCCCATTCATCCACCAAAGAGAGGGTCATCTAACTAGTTCAAAGTCTAAGGCTAAGGAGATTTGGGAGTTTAGTTTAAGTCAGAGGTTGCAAACTGGCCATGAGTGGGCCAAATTCATCTCAGACAAGTTACTTAATTTTTGGCTTCTTCATTAGTAAAATGAGCATATTAATATCTGGAATGACTGTCAAGGATTAAAATAATTAATATACACAAAATGTTGAGGACAGTGTCTGACACATAAGCGTGTATTTGTTTTATTATTATTAATATTATTATTAGAGTCACATGACATTCTTAAAGTCTTTGAATTCAAGTGTCTTCACATGACTTCCTCAGTTAACTCTAGTTCACACCACTCCCTCCTGTCCTGCCCCAAGCCCCAGAATATCTCTGGTTTGTGTCTCCTGACTGCAGCCTGGTCCTCTGCCCCCTTTGTTACTGTTGGCTAATAGGCTGTTTGGTAACACGGATTGTCAACAGAACCATGAAGATTACAGACCTGAGCCAGACCAGTTCTCCCCTCTTACCTCCCCTCTGACCACCACCCCCGCCTCCCAAATCAGGCAAACTCAAAGCAGGTCCCTGAGCTGGCCTCTCAGACTCATGGCTCCACCTCAGCCAGCTGTGTATCTTTGGGCAAACCCTTCCTCCTCTCCAGGCCTTAGTCTCCCCAGGAGTCAAATGGTCTCCAGAACCCCGTCCACCTCCAAAGTGTGTTCTGAAATAGGGACAGTAGAGAGGACTTGCCATCAGCCCTGGGTCCCTAATTCCCTCTGCAGCAGAGCTGGGAACTCTAGTGCCATCCCCTTTTAAACATCCCTCTCAATGCGAAAGAAGAATCCCATGTCAGTTGCGATAGAACAGCAACCACAGAGCTCCGTGATTATCTGGATGCAGGTTTTATTATCATTAGGGTGACTGTCATCGACAAGGGGAAGGGGCTTAGAGGGTTATATACAAACCACAATTCTTGGGCGATGTTTCAATATTCCCATCCATGTTTATCCCACAGCCACACACAGCGCAATGCCATAGGGTAGTCTCCTACATATGCATCTCCCAGCAGCTGTGGGTCAGGGCTCTACCCATCCGCAAAAGGATGCCCAGAAAGGGGAAGATACTGGGTCATAGGGATGCAGTTTATGCGTGGAGAATCCTGCCAGATGGAGTAGGAGATGGAAGCTGGATTTATACATCAACGCTTCAGTCCCACCCCACCCTCACTGGCTGCCCTCCCCAGGGGCTCCCTGCCCCACTTGGGGAGGCTTTGCAAGACACAAAAGGACCATCTTAGCCAGAGCTAAGGAAGGAGCAGGCCTGCGGGGGTGGGGGAGAAAGGGGTTCTAGGATCTGCCCCCTTGCCTGTGGTGCTAAGTGGGAGAATATGGGGTTTAAACTTCTAGGCTGATTTTCTCACATGACTAAAGGAAGCGGGCAAGGCCAGGGGCTGGGATGTGTGTGAATATGGGGCTGGGAGGGAGGGGCTCAGACTTATGGTTAGGGATCTAATGAGAGAATGCAGAGGTCATGAAGGGTGAGGCACACAGGGCTTGAGACATCCTTAGACCACAAACTCGACTTCAGGGGAAACTGGGTTCACTCCTCCAGGCCGCCCGCTGGCCAAGGTTCTGTTGCTTTTCCTCAGCTCCCTGGCTCCTGCTCAGGTCATCCAGGAGCCCCAGCAAGAGGACCGCTTGACCACAGGCTCCCTGGGGCTCACAGGAGCCTCCCACGGCCCTCTTGCCCGGATGTTGGCGTTTCTCAGCCATCAGCTCTTCCTTTCTCTCTTCCTCCTCCTCCTCTTCTTCCCAGCTCCTTTGAGCCTTGGGATCTGCCAGCCGTCTGCCTGGGTGCTGCCGCCTGGTGACAGCATACCCAAGCCAGGGAGAGCGCCGGCCAGGGTGCTGCCGCTTGTGCTGGGCTGCATCAACTGACCATGAAGCCTCATCTTCCCGTCGGCCAGGGTGCTGCCGTTTGTGGGGTCCCATAGCCCCCGCTTCTTCTTCTTCCTCTTCAACTCCCACTTCCTCCTCCTCCTCTCTTTTGCCTGGATGCTGACGTTTGGAGAGCCAGTCAGGTTGAAGGATCTGGGACGCTGGGGAGGGAAAGAGGTCAGTGAGGGGCCTCTGACCCCTGTAATAGGCAGGTGCCTGAGTGCTCACTTCAGCTCTCCTCCCAGGCAGGGCACATTTTCTGCAGCTCCCACTCAGTGGCAAGGTCTTGCACCTGCCCCTCAGGTCTCACAGATACACACACTCACACAACAGTCAATGGCATTGCCTCTGGGTTCCAGTCGCAGCTCTGTGGCTCCCTAGTTGGGTGACCATAGGTGTGGCCCTACACGACTCAGTTTATCTCTGAGTCTCAGTTTTCTTCTGTGTAAAATGGTAATTACATAGTTGTTAGGAAGATCAAACAGTGTGATAAAGTGTTTGAAGTGCTTAGAATAGTGTCTGACACAGAAGTGCCTAGTCAATAGTAATTCAAACTGTTACACACAAGGAAACTCTCTCCCCAGTACACAGAAGCTTCCCCATTGAGGGCCGGCTCTAAGTGAAACATTCCCAGCATTGAGAGAGGGGAGGAATCTGACCCCAAGGAATGGTCAACTCCAGACGGTACCCAGGTGCGTCCAGGGAAGGTTTCTGAGCTTTTGAAAGGCAGGAGGCTAGATGACCAAGCCTCCCTTCCCTTCTGCCTCCAGGCTTCCCCCACCCTCCCGGCAGCCTAGCCCGAAAGCTCCCCGCCACGCGCCCCCAACAGCCCCATCCACTCACCGGAGTGCTCAGCCTGGTCCCCCTGCTGCCGCAGGATGTTTTCCCGGAGGAAGAGGAGGCGCTCCACCTGACGCAGGAGGTCGTCCAGGCCGGGACGCTCCGCGACGGTCACCGTCTCTTGCTGGGCTGCCTCTGGCTGAGCACCGCCGCCGGGAACACCGATCAGGTTCAGGGTCAAAGCCAGGGCGAGCAGCAACCAAGGGCCAGGCATCGCTGCGTCTGGGATAGGGGACAGAGCCTGAGCGCCCCGAATCGCAGCACATCCCTCTCCGTCTCCCCCGACGCCCGCCAGGAACAAACCACGCACAGTTCAACCGCCCTCCCAGAAGCAGAACCACTGCTCCTTGTGCAGGAGCGGGAGCAGCGGCGGGGTCTGCCCGGGCTTTGCATCCACACCTGTTACCTCTAGGCGTTTTCGCCCCCACCGGTGCCTGTAATGCCTGCGCCCAGTTCTGCTTGCGGAAGGGAGGAGGCAGTGGGAACCTCATTGCTAGCGCCACCGCCACTGCCACCCTTCAACGTGACGCGGAGATGGGGAGCCAACACTGGGACTGCCTCGCCGGGAGTGCAACCACTGAGATTGCAGCGCCAGGCACAGCCGCGACGCTAACGGCTGCGTCCCCCCAAGACTGCCCCCAAGGTCCCCTTCGCCACACTGGAATTCCAAGCTCCATGGCCGACGCCCTCATTCCAAAGGGAAGGTCCCATTTCTAGCGCTAAGATTCGGGTTCTAAAGCTCCAAGTCTATTTGTAAAGCTATGATTCTATTTCTAATGCTAAGCTTTCATGACTAAGCCAGGAAGCCGATTCTAACGCTAAAATCCTAATTTCAACGCTAAAATTCTATTTCTAGCGTTGAGATTCGGATTCGAACTCCTAGGTTCTCACGCCGACGCCCTGAATGCCCAGTTCTGTCCGGTAGCGCCGGGGGAAGGGGGTACCGCGGAGCTCCCACCCTGCGCTCCGGACTCCCGGCACCTGAGTGCCCCCGCCGTGCCTCCCGTCGGGTCCCTGGCCGGCTCTCGGGGAGGACCCAGAGGTGCGAGCGCCGCGCCCACCTGTGCACCGGCCCAGCGCTCCAGGAAGCGCTTGGAGAACGGAAAGCGAGGGCGGGCAGAGAGGGCTCCCGGACGCAGCCTGCAGAGAGAGAGGGGTCGGGGCGGTTACCTGCCAGGCCTGGGCTCCACAAGATGGGTCCGGGATCCGGGGACTGGGAGTCCGCAGCGCTGAGGACCCCGGGCGCCAGCAGAGCGCTCTTCCGCGGGGCAGCAGCTTATATCTGCGCTAGGCGGCAGCTCCGGTGAGGTCAGCGGGGAGGGGTCGCGGCCGCCGGGAAGGGGCGCTGACGGCAGCGGGCCCCGCGGGACCCCGCCCGCCTTCCCGCTCCTCCGGAAATCTGGGGCGGGGACGGCGGGGACCCGAGTGGGGGCGCGGAGGCACGGGCTGCAGGATGGGACGCTGGCGCGGGGTCGTTTCTACACCGCCTCCAGGGGAGATCTGTTGACGAGAACACTCGGTTAGGGGGCAAAGGGACAGAGAGGTTGAGAGAAGCACATCAGTAAACAGAGGCGCACGAGAGACACAGAGGGCGAAGCAAAGACCGAGATCCACACGGAGACAGACGCATGGAGCAACACAGGGCAGACACATATGAAAGGGACACGGTCGCAGAGACCAGTGCAGAACGCACACGAGCGAGAGAAGGGCGCGAGAGAGAATGGGGGACAAGTGGGATTGGAGCTCTGTTTTTTTTAGAGAGATAGGGTCTGACTTTGTCCCCCAGACTGGAGGCAGTGGCGCAGCACAGCTCACTGCAGCCTCGAGCTCCTGGGCTCAAGTCATCCTCCTGCCTCGGCCTCCTGAGTCTCTGAGATTACAGGTGTGAGCTACCCTGCAGGCTCTGGGGTGCTAATCTTAACTGTGTCATTCCTGGCTAGTGCTTCTGCTTCTCTGGGCCTCGGTTTTCTCCTCTGTGCAATAGGAGCCCAGAGGACAGCTTTCAGAATTCTGAAACTGGTGACCTATAGGCTACAACCAGTTCACGGACAATTTCGATGGACTTCCATAGTGTTTTGAAAAAATTTGAATAATCAACATTTTAAAACCAAGGTAACTTAGAAAAAAAAATGTGGATTTTTGGTTTCTCTTGAAAATCTCTTGAAAAGGAGTGGGCCCACATTTCCTGCTGCCAACGGCCAGCTGAAGCTGAGCCTGGCTGTCCGGGCCAACACAGTCCCCACCACTCCCTAATGTCTCCCAATGCATTGCCCCTGTCACTGAGGAGGGACATTGGAATCTGCAGCCCCTGCACCAGAAATCTATTGGAGTTCACCCTACTCTGGCAAAGGAGGGGAGGAGAAGCAGGAAGGAGAAACACATGGTGCCAAGGAGCTTGTCCCCCAGTCAGTCCCCAGAGTCCCAGTTGTGAGACTGCCACATCTAACCCTGGTGACTGCCTCTATCTTGAAACTTTTTCAGACAGGGTCTCATTCTGCCACCCAGGCTGGAATGCAGTGGTGCAATCTCAGCTCACTGCAGCTTTGACCTCCTGGGCTCAAGGGATCCTCCCACCTCAGCCTCCCAAGTAGCTGGGACTACAGGAAGGCACTGTAATTTTTATGGCTAATTTTTAAATTTTCTTGTAGATAACGGAATCTCTTTATGCTGCCCAGGCTGATCTCGAACTCCTAGACTCTAGTGATCCGGCCCATCTTGAAACATTTAACAAGCACCCACTATGGTGTCAGGCTCCCTGGTAGGTCCTGAAGGCTAGAAGTGAATTAGGCTTAGCCCCAGCCTTCAAAAAGTTCAGAGTCATTGAGGGAGACAGGCTGAAAACCAGACTGACTCTGACAAGGAGTGTGCAACAGCTCACCTGCTGGGTGGCAAGCGGGCAGTTGGCAGTAGTTGGGGAGAAAACACAGTCACTGTGGAGGGTGATGTGGGCTAGGAGAAAAATCTAGATGCAAGGTAATGAAGCAAGGAATGCAGAACCGGAGCTACTGAGTCTGCCAGGAAATGTCCAGAAGGTTCACACAGGGAAAGGAAGCTGAAACTTGAAGGATGCGGGAGAGTTGGCCAGGCCCACTTAGAGGGAACCACATTTTTGGCAGAGGGAACACATGAGTGAAAGCATTCTGACCTCTGGACAGTCCCAGCGATTTTCTGCTTCACTACTGTACAGTATTTCTTCCGTCTACAACTTTAATCAGGACACCCTTATGATGTGACAAAGGATTCCAAAGGCATTTAATTGTTACTCCTTCCCTTGGTGGAGTATCCAACTTTCCTGGCACATCCACACCCACCATCTCATTTCACCTTTTCATCACCGGGAGATAAACAAGGTGGGGACTATCAGTCCCACTTTACAGATACAGATACAGAGGCTTGCAGGGGCAAAGTGACTTTGAAGGTTAGAAGTGAAAGGGAACTTTCATTTCATTTCATTTTATTATTTGTTTATTTATTCTGAAACAGAATCTCTGTCGCCCAGGCTGGAGTGCAGTTACACAATCTTGGCTCACTGCAACCTCTGCCTCGCAGGTTGGAGCAATTCTCCTGCCTCAGACTCCCAAGTAGCTGAGATTACAGATGCACACCATTATGCCTGGCTGATATTTGTATTTTTAGTAGAGATGGGGTTTCCCCATGTTGGCCAGGCTGGACTTGAACACGTAACCTCAAGCAGTCCACTTGCCTCGGCTTTCCAAAATGCCAGGATTATAAGAATGAGCTACCCTGCCTGGCCAGAAGGGAAATTTTAGATCACCAGCTAGAGTTCTTTCCTCATGTTTAGGTGAAGAAACAGGTCTGGAGAGATGGCTTGACTCCCAAGCACAGTGTGCCTTCAGAGTCAAGTGGTGGGTTCAGACCGCAAACCTCAGGCTTGATCTCCCAACCAGACCCCAGGATTTGAAGAAATGCCACCCTAGCTAAGATGAAATCAGACAGTCCTATTGTCTTTTGTATACAATGATGAGGCTGTAAATTATCCAATCTTTTGGGTGGCAATCTGAAAATTTAACACATATGTAGCTTCCATGAGATAATTCTGTTTTTCACAATTTATCATACAGATAAATTGTGCATGGGAATGTATACACAAGGATATTCAGTGCAGCATGGTTTATAGAAGCCAGAATTGGAAACAACCTGAATGTCTGTCCCTCAAAAGGGGGACACTTAAATCAACTGGGACCCATCTAAAACTATGAGGTACTATGCGGCCTTTAAAAGACTGCAGCAGTTCCATATGCACTCATGTGGAATAAACTCCAAGAAGCAGGGTGGAGAGCTATGTGTACATCATGCTGCCACTTGTGGGCTGGGAGGAAGATGGGCTGCCAGGCTTTTAGCTCTTTTTGTTTTGCTTTGTTTTGTTGTTGTTTAGAGATGGGGTCTTGTACTGTCACCCAGGTTGGAGAGCAGTGGCACAATCAATAGCTCACTGCAGCCTCAAACTCCTGGGCTTTCCTCAACTTCCTAAAGCACTGGGATTATAGGCAAGCACCAGTAACACGCCAGGCTAGACTTTTGTTTTTGTTTTTGTTTTGTAGAGACAGAGTCTCACTATGTTGCCCAGGTTGGTCTAGAGTGCCTAGCCTCAAGCAATCCTCTAGTTTCGGCCTCCCAAGTGCTGGGATTACAGACCTGAGCAACACCACACATAGCCTTCTTATGTTCTTAGACAAGACCTGTGCAGAAGGAGATCTAGCAACCAGGGAAAGGGAGGACAGAGAAAGTTGTGTGGAGGCTTGCTTTTCACTGTCAGCTCTTAGCGCTGTTTGAATTTTCTCTCTGCAGCATTACCTATCCACAAACAAACAGCACCAAAACCCCCAACAACGAGAACAACAGAAATCCCATCTAAGGCACAAAAGGTGTGATAAGTGTGGATGCATGGGAAAACTGTCTCCTGAAGAGTGAGATGGCCGGAACATTGCACCCTGATGAGCCCATTTGGTGCCTTTCTATCATCAGGGATTTGAGCTGCCTGTTTGGAGGATAGGACCCAGATGGATGGGGAGCAGTCAGGAGAGCTCTCACGAAGACCTTGGAACAAGAGAGGGTGGTACAGGCACCTGCAGTGTCCTTAGCAACCCAACTCCCTCCCTCCCTCCCTCCCTTCCTTCCTTCCTTCCTTTCTCCCTCCCTCCCTCCCTCCCTTTCTTCCTTTCTTCCTTCCTTCCTTCTCTGTCTCACTAAACAAATATTTACTGAGCCCCTAGTAGGTACCAGGATCTGTTCTAGACCTTGGGGATTGTATTCACCATGTGTTTCTTTCTAATGCTTTGACATCTGAGGTCTTGCTGACCTTGGAAAGACTTCCAGGGTTAGCCATCTACTAGAAAGTAAACAACTCTCTTAGAGGCACCCCTTTCATAAGCAAACCAACCAATCCAGAGCTTTCTCTCCCCACCACCTTCTCTATGGAGTTCTCACACTCGGGGCTACTATCACCGTCCCCTAATCACCTCAGGGCTGCATACCAGACAATTAGGGGACAGCCCTGATGCCCCATAGCCCACTGAAATTATCCAAGCTAGCCAATCCTAAACCTGCTCAGTCTGTCTTGCCCGTTCCTTCCTGAGGAAGCCGGAAGAAAGGCTTTCACCCATTTTCCCCTGACTCCCTGTGCCTCCTGACGGACCCCGGTGCTTCCCACACGGCTCTGCAGATCTTGATGTGACCCCTCCTCTTGGGAACCATGAGTAACAAAGATCTGTTGGCCTCGCCATATCTGAATAATAATAAAACCCACATTTTAAAGCAGGGACCCAGGAGGGCAAGAAGTCAGGACCCTGGTCCATCTCTCACAGAGCTTAGAATCTAGTCAGCGTGTTGTATATATTTTTCTAGCTTGCAATTTTTTTTCTCTGATAAAGCAAATGGGCTTGAATCTCAAGACTGTGGTTGCTTATCAGATTAATACAGCTATGCTTTTGAAAATGAATAATGGGATAATTTAATGGTGAGTATGTACACTATTTCTAACTCCTAGTGCCACTGCCAACACACACACTGATACACTCACACACACACATTCACTGTCACACATACACTCTCACACTCACATATTCACATTCACACACTGACACACACACTCCTTGTAGGAGGTATATTGAGTCTCAGGGTAGGTTCTGATTCCCTAGATCCTGCCTCCATGAATTCTTCTCTTTCCCTCTCAAAGCTTCTCTGCTCCCTATCCATACATGTCCTGCAGATACTTAAGTGTCTTTAACAACCCTAAGCTGCAGACAGGCCTAAAGCAGTCTCACTGAGTTTACTTTTGAATTTTGTTTATGGTGGGTTTTTTTAATTTAAGCTTTTGTTTTTTTTAAGAGACAGCCTCGCTCTGCCACCCAGGCTGGAGTACAGTGGCGTGATCTCGGCTCATTGCAACCTCCGCCTCCTGGGTTCAAGTAATTCTCCTGCCTCAGCCTCCCAAGTAGCTGGAATTACAGGCGTGCACCACCACACCCAGCTAATTGTCTTTGTAGTTTTAGTAGATACAGGGTTTCACCATGTTGGCCAGGCTAGGCTTAAACTCTTGACCTCAGGTGATCTGCCCACCTC